TACGTTATGTGAGTTGGGATATAAAATACATGAGTAATTTGAAAATTATATATTGTATTATAAGGTTTACTCTAGGATTATAAATAAACCTGTTTGTAATCCTAGGTCTTTGAGAGAGCTGAATCCCTCAATTATATATTCTCTTTTCTGGATTAGTGGAAAAGCCGCCGCTCTGCTCTCGAGGATGTAGGCATCTTTGCCGAACCTCGTTAAATCTCTGTATGTTCTTCTGGATTTGTGTTGATTGCCTGTTTTTCTTCGCCCTAATTTCTCAACAAGTTGTGTCAGAGCGAGGTTCGAGGGCAGGGAAGAAAAATTTGTGCGGCGCATGAATAAAGAAGACTTTGGCAGAGGAGATTGGCGGCTAGAGAAGAATTTCGATAAGGTTTGCGACAGTTCAAATTTCGACGCAGAGAAAGTTCGAAGACGAAGAGGGCTTCGGACGGTTCGGCCAAGGTTTGCGACAGTTCAGATTTCGACGCAGAGAAAGTTTGAAGACGAAGAGGGCTTCGGACGGTTCGACAGGAAGACGAGGGTTTTTCCGCGAAGGCTTCAATTACGACACTAGGCGCGTGCGGACAGTAGGAGTTCGGTGAAGCTTCAAAGGAGTCGGCGCAGGAAGGCGTCGGCGAGATCGACATAGGAGCAGAAAGACGTCGGTGATATCGACAGAGGAATTGCGGCGTTCGCGATCGCAACCGAGGAATCGCGGCTTCGACTTCGGTGGTTCGGACGGGTTTCGATTCAACGAGAGGTTTTCAGCGCCAGGCGAAGTTGCTACAGGCAGAAAAGGAAGGTTTGACATAAGCCTGGAGTGGAGGCGAAAATTGGAAGCTCCGATTTCATTCATTTGCTGGAGGTGGAAGAAAATTGGAAGGAAATCAAATTCCGATTTTATTGCGGAGAAAGAAAAAAAATTGTAAGAGTAATCAAATTTTGATTTTATTCCTTTGCGGGAGGCATAGAAGGAAATAAGTTCTGATTTTATTCTTTTGCTGCAGAGAAGAAATTTGGAAGAAATATTTTCCAGATTTCTCTAGAGGCAAAAGAATTTCCTTCGCAGAATAATTGCCTTTGTTGGCTACTAGCGGAATATTCCAAATAATCCAAGAAAGAATTGCCTTCGCAGAAGAATTTCCTTTGCAGAAGAATTGCCTTTGATTTCGGAGGCGACCAAATAATCCAAGAAAGAAAATTATCTTCTAGCTGCGGAAAAGGAAATTTAGCGCGGAGGTATTTTGAAGATTTTCTAGGACAAAGAAAGAGGATCTACTGCCGCACTCAGAAAGGAAAGATTTCTTTCTCGAAGGAAAAAAAAATGATTTTCTAGAAATCGGTGACGGAGCCTTTTATTGGAAGTTTAAGGAAAAATTTTTAGGAAACTTAGTTAAGGGAAATACTTAATTAAGAAAACTTAATGAAGAGAATATTTCAATCCTTTTTCGGAAATATTCTGGTTCTTTTCTGGGAAACTTAATTAAGGGAAATACTTAATTAATGAAAACTTAATTTAGGAAACTTAATTAAGAGAATATTTCAATCAATTTTCAGAAAGATTTTGTTGCTCTTCTGAGAAACTTAATTAAAGATTATTTAAAAGGTTTGTGATATCTTTGCCCAACCCACTTTTGGTATGTAAAAAACTCCATGATGTATGATGTATTTCTTCTAAGGGGCTGGATATTCGCTAAAGTGAGATTTGTTCGACATATGTATTTCTCCTAAAGGGCAGGATATTCGCAAGGTGGAGATATTTCTCTTAAGAGGATGAATATTCATAAGGTGGAGATTTTCTCCTAAAGGACAGAATATTCGCAAGGTGGAGATTTTTCTCATAAGGGATTGAATATTCTCAAGGTGGAGATTTTCTTCTAAAGGGCTGAATATTCGCCAATGTGGAGAATTGTTAGGTATTGCTCATAATACCAGAATTTGGAGTCTCTTGGAATGAAGAGATGTCTCTTGGAATTGAAGAGGTGCGTCTCGTAATTTAGTGGGTTGAGATCAGTGAGGGTGCAGCAGAAGCATGATCGCCCGATCCACATTGGTGCAAGTGTAACTCCCAGGTATCTTTTCTCCTAAGGGGGTGAATATTCACTAAGGTGAAGATTTGTTATGATATGACTCACATAACATATAAGGACAGACGCTGGAATGAAGCAGAGCGGAGCGGAAAAATCTGTTCAAATCGGGAAGTTACGTTATGTGGGTTGGGGATATACGGTACATGGTTAATTTGGGAATTACATATTGTACTGTAGGGTTTACTCTAGAATTATAACTAAACTTGTTTGTAATCCTAGGCCTTTGAGAGAGGTGAATCCCTCTATTATGTATTCTCTTTTCTGAATTAGTTAAAAAGCCGCTGCTTAGCTCCCGAGATGTAGGCATCTTTGCCGAACCTCGTTAAATCTCTGTGTGCTTTTCTGGATTTGTGTCGATTGTCTGTTTTTGTTTGCCCTAATTTCTCAACAGTTAGGTTAAACGAGGGGATGTGCGGTGAATAAGAGGTTTTAGTTAGTTAAACGAGGGGATGTGTGGTGGATAAGAAATATCTTTCATCGGCAGAAATCAAAGTTTCTCATGTGCATCTTTAAGTATTATTTCACACCCCAAACAATGCAAAATATGATGAAATAAATGAAGCATGTTTTGTATTATCAAAAGAAAAATTATATGTTAGTAATAACAAACGAAGAAAGATAAATATTATTCCATAAATAAGAGTCCAACTAATAAACTGAAATAAAAAATCAAAACTGACTAAAAAACCAAAATTATAATAGAGAAACTACTCAAAACCCATAAGATGAAATGGAATAACTAATTTAAAATTGAAAATAACCGTAAGAAAGTCTAAAACAAAAAAGTTTGCTTCTATGGAGATCATCTTACTAGTGATTGAATTGAAACTACTATACAAAAATATTAACGGATGAGTTAGACAAATCAAATTCAGTGAATAATATTATTATTAAAGTATAAATGTTAAGATATTGAGACATACATTATGAGCACTAGTATGCATAATTTGTTGCATGCATGTACAATATTTATCTGACATTAGTGTGTAATTCTAATCAAAATGAGTGCTCAATCTAGTTAAAGAAATATGCAATTACTAAAATAGTAAATGTATGACATATCAACCATTTCTTTCTTAGTTTATGTTTTTATAGTTGATTTTATCAGATATCCTGAAATCTAGAATGTAAACATCAGCCTAAGGAAACCCGATGTTTTTCTATAAATCATCACTTTGTGGGCCCACTTGCCCGACTAACCAATATCCAAAAGTTTCCACTGACGTAGAAACTATTGCACACAAACATGCAACTGTACCTTTTTAACGAAAATTATTTAAACAAGATTACCAACTTTTTTAATTTTTTAAACATATAACGTGCAATTCATAACCGTAACATCTAATAATATTTCAGCTGCAAAATTTAATTAAATATGTAAGGAGTTGTGTAACAATAAAATAAAACATCTATTTAGCTCATTTTGAGCAATAATGAAGCTTATAACAAGTTCTAAAAGAAAATGAAGTAGCAAGGGCACCTGACAATCCTATAAAATAATTATGAATTTGTTATATGTAACAATGATAACACTCAGAACTAAGAAGAATATGTTTATCCCTTAATAAAAAAAAAGTTACTTACCTTGTGACGACGTAAAAGAAGCTTTTGATCTTTATAGGCTTTCCTAGATGATGTCACGAGGTGGGCTCAAAATTTCTACGCCCCAAAATACATCAGCCATATAAAAAATGTATTAAATATTGCTATTTTTATTATTATTGTTTTTTTTTATTACTACTATTATTAAATTCATTATATTTTTTTCAAAGAAAGTAGTATTATTATTAAGATTAAGCCTAACAAAAAATTTCATATAAGAATCCATTGAATAACATAAAAATAATTTAATATACATACACATATATAAGGCTATACAAGAGATAATAAAATTGTATTTAAAGAAAAAAAAAAACTTTGAAAGGGGAAGGAGAGCTTATGACAACGAGTGATCAATGAAGGAGGAGGAGGCAGTTTTGATCCTTATCATTTGGTTAGGTCAAGGATAAGCAAAAGAGCTACTTGATCGACGGCTCTGGGTGTGAGCAAGATCAGGAGAGACGACTAACCCCTAGACCTCACATATACAAGTATATGAGGAAATCACTTACAGCTACAAGGGAGAGCAAGAACTTAATCGGGAAGTTGGTTCACATAGAAGAAGAAGGCGAGGAAGGAAGGAAATCACTATTTTGAAAGACGACTAGCAAAAATGAAAGAAAGTTATGCGATTTGCATGATCTAGGAGGCAGGCAGAACCGGCCTCTTTTTTGAGAGGGAGGGGGACTGTCCCCCTAGATTCAACGCGGGAGGGTTTAGGGCAACAAAGTTGTTTAGAATTTTTTGTCAATTTTATTCTTCGTTATGTTATGGCATTCGTTGTATTGTTATAGAGCTTGCTTTGCATTTTGTTAATATTAGAAGTATATGGAAAAGTATGCTTAAGTTTCGTTTATGGTAATTTTAGTCTCAAAAGTCTCTAAAAAATTAAATTAGTGCACTGACTCTTTAATAAAGACTAAAATAATCCACCGGATGGACTATCTTAGCCCTCATTAAAAAATTCAGCGACTAAATTAATACTTTTATAAAATATGGAACTATAATGAACCTCTACAAAGAATTAGGAGATCATTTTAACACTCTTCTCATTCATAGATGCATGCCTACATTCTAATATATTTACACATCCCACTCCTAAACTTTGATATTTATACACATACCACTCAAATCTATAATATCACATCAAAAATAGCATTATTACCAATTCTAAAAGTCAAATAGACTTTTTCATGCATAGCTTTAAAGCACCGAAGTGCTGTATATATCTGTTTATATGTGTGTGTGTGTGAAATTTTAGGGGTGATCTATATAAATACATAAGAATTGTATGTAAATTTCCCTTTTTTTTTTTCTTCAGGTGACAATATATTTGGCTCAGACTCTAAAGATGCTGCACAATCACTGAATGCTGCATTTGAACCTGCTGTCAAACTCAAGCTTCCATGGGCTGCAGTAATTGGCAACCATGACCAGGAGGGCACCCTCTCCCGCGAAGCTGTAATGCGACACATTGTCGGAATGAATCACACTCTTTCGCAATTTAATCCTACCGGAATAGACATTGATGGCTTCGGAAATTATAACTTAGAGGTCGGTGGCGCTGAGGGTTCCGCGCTCGCAAACAACTCAGTTCTCAACCTTTATTTCCTCGACAGTGGCGATTATTCCACCGTCCCTTCAATTCCAGGTTACGGCTGGATCAAGCCCTCTCAACAACTCTGGTTCCAGAAGACCTCTTCTCACCTTCAGGTAATTTATCAAATTTAATAAGTTAAGCTTGGGACATTTGCGTGCATACTACCCAATTGTTATGTATTTACATATCTAACACCTAAACTTAAATTTTTGCATTTATGCCTCTCAAATCTTTCACATTACATAAAAAAATATCACTATTTCTTACTTTTAAATAGTGAAATACGCCTTTACCTACATAGGTAAAGTGATATGTATGAAAAAAGTTGAAGTTTAGGTTTTTGATATGTAAATACGTAAGATTTGAGTGAGATGCGTGTTAATTTTCCCCTTAAGCTTATGGCATTTACATACATACCAACTAATTCATATGTATTTACATCATCTAATACCTAAACTTTAAGTTTTACATTTATACCACCCAAATATTTCCTATCACATAAAAAATACCACCAGTTTAACTTCTAAACAGTGAAATACACTTTTTCATAGATAGGTAAGGTGGCTTGTATGATGCTGGATATGTAAATACATAAGAATTGAGTGGTATGTATGTGAACCTTCTTTTAAGCTTGGGGCCTTTACATACATACCACCAAATTCCTATGATTTACTTATCGAACACCTAAATTTTACTTTTTACATTTATACTGCCCAAATCCATATCACATTAGAAATACCACCGTTCTAACTTTTAATCAGTGAAATATACCTTTTCATACATAGGTAAGGTGGTGCCTAAAAGAAAATTGAAATTTAAGTGTTAGATATAAATACTTGAGAGTTGAGTGGTATGTCTGTAAATCTAAGGTTGGGGCATTTACATGCATATCACCCAATTCCTATGTATTTACATGTCTAACACCCAACCTTTAATTTTAAGATTTATACCACTCGAACCTTTCATATCACACTAAAAATAGCTCATTTTTAACTTTTAAATAGCGAAATACACCTTTACATGCATGGGTAAGCTGGTACATACGTAAAAATTGAAGGTTAGGTGTTAGATATGTAAAAATAAGAATTGAATGATAGGCCTGTAAATCTTCCTTTACATACATACCACCCAATTCTAATGTATTTAGATATCTAACACATAAACTTTATCTTTTGCATTCGTACCACCCAAATCTTTCATTTCACATGAGAAATACCACAATTTTAACTTCAAAATAGTGAAATACACATTTGCATACATAGGTAAGGTTGAATGTATGTAAAAATTGAAGTGAAGGTGTTAGATATGTAAATACATAAGCATTCAGTGGTATGTATGTAAATATTCTTTTAAGATTTCCATCTTTATAGAAGGAGTACATGAGACGAGCTTTGCAGCAGAAACATCCAGCACCTGGTCTAGCCTATTTCCACATACCTCTACCCGAGTTCAGCAGCTTCGATACGGCGAATTTCACCGGAGTAAAACAGGAAGGGATCAGCTCTGCCTCCATTAACTCCGGCTTCTTCGCAACGATGGTGGAGGCCGGAGATGTTAAAGCCGTGTTCACCGGGCATGATCATCTCAACGATTTCTGCGGAAAGCTTATGGGAATTGAGCTTTGCTATGCAGGTGGATTTGGATACCATGCGTATGGGAAAGCGGGGTGGTCGAGGAGGGCGAGAGTGGTTTCCGCATTTCTCGAGAAGAGTTCGAGTGGCCAGGAGTGGGGGGGAGTGAAGTCGATCAAGACGTGGAAGCGGCTCGACGATGAACAACTCTCTAGGATTGACACACAGGTCTTGTGGATAAAGGGTTCTTTAGGTATGCTTCTTTTTTCATGATTTTATTAAGGGGTATTACATACATACCACCCCCTTCCTGTAGATTTACATATTTGATACATAAGCTTTATTGTTTACATTTTATATCACCTTTGATATCACGTTAAAAATAATACTATTTTAAGTTCTAAAAAATGAATTATACTTTTTCATGCCTGGATAACGTGGCATATATGTAAAAATTGAAGTTTAGGTGTTACATATGTAAATACAGAGGAATTTAGTGGTATTTATGTAAATATTCCTATAATCTAACATCATCTAATGATTCCATTCATTGTACAGGGAGAAGAAGGAAGAGCACTGTTCCAAATGAAGCAGATTGAATATGATGCCTCTATTTCTACTATTGTGTGATGAAGAAAAATCATCTCTGTATTTTTCAAAGTAATGCTGCTGGTTCATAAATGGCTGCTATTTCTTGAGTATTTGTGAAAATGTTAGATTGTCTTGTACTGTAGCATAAGTTTGCAGCAGAGCAGAAATAAGCTATAAGAACCTCAAGGGTTTCTACCTTTAATGCAGCATATGTTCTTTTTTTAGGAATATTTACATATACACCACTCGACTCCATTGTATTTGCATATCAAACGCCTATAAATTTCAATTTTTACATATGTATATCACGTTATGCATGAAAAAGTGTCTTTCACTTTCTAATAGTTAAAATAATGATATTGTTGATGTGATATGAAACATTTGGTGGTATAAATGTAAAAATAAAATAAAATTTAGGTATGAAATATGTAAATCTATAGGAATTGGGTGGTATGTATGTAAATACGCCTTGTTTTTATTGTAGCTGTGTCCTCTATTGGAGATCCTGCAGTGAGGCTCCTCACGTTGCAGTGAGGATCCTGTATTGGAGATCCTGTATATATATAGTTAAAAAATATATATAGGCACCCTTACCCCTAACCATTCGAGGACTGCCCTCACTACTGACAAATTGGCTATAGAGGGGTTTGAACCCGTGATTTGAGGGGGCTGATGACCTTCAAAGATGTTGCTCTATCGATATGTCACGGCTGGCGACACACGTATATATAATTTAAGAAAATTTTGAATGGTATGGTCATCATGTCATGCAAATCAAGTAATGACCTATCTATGTTAACTATGAGTGAAAATGTCAAATTCAATCATCACAACTTGGTGTTATTGTAAATATTTTCAAATTTAAAAAAAAAATGTTGAAAGAATCCAAAGTTCTTGAGAGAAAAACATCAGATATAAGTTTGCGTATTTGCGTTCGAAGTCTGGTGGACATTTGTCACGTGGTAAACGGGCTCTATTGTAATACACTGGTTGGGTGGTTTTTTAGAGGAGTGTCTCACAATTGCCACTTGGCATATGCCTCTGGATTTAATAATTTTTGCAAGCTATTTTGCCCTCATTCATTTGAAGCTCACGACATTGTTTCATCTTACCTAACGATGGTACGAGCTAAGTATTAGAAATGTTAATTATATACTCTTAAGAAATTATTTCAATTCATTCTTAGATGGGGGTGTAAACGAACCAAACACGAATGGACAGAGCTTGTGTTCGTGTTCGGTTTGTTTAAAATTTAATTTGTCTGAAATAAGTTCGTGTTTGAAATTATTCGTGAAGTCACTGTTCGTTTTCGTTTCTTAAAGAACGAGCCGAACACGAGCTGTTCGCGAACGACGAGCCAATTTGACATCCCTAATATTAATATGTATAAATAATATATTATATAAATATATAATATCTATATTAATATATTATTATTATTAATTTATTATATATAGGGGTGTAAACGAGCCGAACACGAGCGAGCCATGCCCCGCTTGGGGTCGGCT